GACTAAAACTAGACTACTTATTGAACGCATCAATTCAGTCCAGGCTTGGCCAAGTACTTCACATGTCCACATCAAATCATCAAGTGGCCCACAAATGTCGTTTTTCCCGTTAGGGCAAAAGGAACGAATAAACTTTGACTCATATACTTGCATCTTTTACTCACAAAATCGCACATGACATTACGTTTTATAACATCAAGTTATTGATATGTTTTTGCAATACCAACATACAACCTACTGGTAAATTACAACTCATATATCTCAGCTTTAAGAAGATAAGATATTATCGTCTCATAATTACTCATGATAAAATTCATGAAGAAATTCTTTGAGCATGGGTTTATCCAATACTCAAAATCCCTATTTTCTAAGTACTCATGAACATTGTAGCAATCTTATTACAATGTCTAATCCCCATAGACAATCTACAATTCAAGTCATGACGGTCTTATTTCATTACCTACTTCCAAAAGTATGAGCGAATGTGGAATTTCGAATAATCAAATTATTTAGGAAGTAAAACATGCAAAGTGAAACCTAATGATAAACTAATTAACTATGGTCTCAAAACTATTGAAAATAAATAAAACTCTTATTATTTAATCACCATAATAATTAAGACTTTATTCATTGTATGATGTTTCGAGTAATCAACTAACCACTTGAATTAAACATCAGTCATGTCATGTTATGAACATGCATACTATGCCTTTTTATGGTCCTTCCTTTGTGAACAGATCGACTCGACACTATTCCAATGATGCTCATTTCATAATTCCAAATTCTTGTCACTGTCTAAAATGTATTGGAATTGCAACCTTACATGCATTGATTTTCTGTGATGTCGAAGCTTCTAAGTCATAGAGACTGAGCCAACGATATTACAGAATGTTCCATTGACACTTTGTTACTAGAAACAATTCCAAGGTATGGATGTTCTAATTCAAGATACGCTTCTTGAACACTTCTCTTGCATTAAAGTTTTCAATTCACATGGAGACTTAATAATCAACTCCCATTATACAAACATTTCCATATTCCCATATGACCATCAATTCTGATTAAGAATCATCTCAATCCAAAATCATGTCATTATGGTCCGTCCAAATTAATACCATACTTCCAACTGTCCACAAGCAACCAATCTTCAGTAAACCTCATAATGTTCTTGACAGTTGTTTAACTGTTGGATTAGGTGTCTAAGCCCATAACTATAATTGGTATGTACTTGACCCGAGAGTAGCATGGTCCATTTGGGTTTCCTTCACCAGAGCAATTTGATAGGATGGACTTTTGAGAAGAGGTTATTTGTGATTTATTAATATATTATAAGTTCTAATGTTAATATATGAAATCATATATTTAATTAGTATTGATCAAGAATTAATTGGAATTAATTTAGTGATCAAAAGAGACTAATTAATATGGGCTGATTAGTAAATCATTGATTTTATAGTATGGGTCCGATCCTGGTATTAGGATGGGCTAAACCCATATGATAGTCCGGATACTCCATGGAGGTTTAACCCTGGAGCTCAGTAATATGAAGGGTCATGTGAGTTAGGTTTGCGGATGTCCCTAGTGCCCCTCACAGGACTTTCCCTGTCCCTTTTACCGGCCCCCTATGTGTATTGAAGGTTCCCAACGATTTTTGGTGTGCCTTGGATTTTCCGTGTCTTTTCCAAGCTCCGTGCGTCCCCCTTTGTTCCTGTGTTTGTGTGTTCTTTGTCTTTCTTGAGCCACCTCTAAAGCCTTGTTCTTGCTTTGTTCTCCCTGTTCTTGTTGTTTCTGTCAATTGTATGCTTTTTTAGTGCATGGCTTAACCTGTTTGTTGGGTATGCTTAGCTGCTGTAAAGGATTTCCCACAACTAGCTTTTTAGGATTTTATGTGCCAAACTAGGCGTTGTTGTAGTATACAAAACCACGTAGTCATTCAGAGCTTAGGATTGTTTTATGTTGTATTTCCTGATACATGATTTTCCATAGCACTATCAACGAAAGTGCAACAAGCCACTGTTTGACAGCATTACATGCGCGTAGTCGGATGAATCGACTTTGTTTCGTTTCAATATTGAGTTACATCTTTGAAACTGACGCATTTATTGTGTTCCTGAGTTGTTTTGATCAGACGAATTCGGATTACGTACGAAGTCAACTGTTTTATTATCATACGTGTGTGTTTCAGTATTGGTAATGTGACGATCCAGGTTGATTAAAAATCACATTTCACAATGATTGATTCAAAATTGTGTTATTTGAGTATGCTATTTATATGTAGATTGCTTTCTTGTATTGTATTTGATATTATGTTGTTTAACTGATATTAATATTTAATGATAATTTTAAATTTTTATGTTAATTATCTTGATTGTGTTTAGTCTTATCCATAAATATGTCCTTTAATTTATGCATGATGTTAACTTTGTTATAAAAGATTTATTCAAAATACATTACACATGATCTGGATTACGTTTTTAATTTTGAGTGTTACGTTACAACCTTGCCCTCATTAAGAATTTGGCCTCTTTTTTTGAAAAGTTCTCAATTTAAAAAAAACTCTATGTATTAAATTGTGTAACTCTTGAGTTCATAATTAAAATAATTTTCTATTATTTTAATTTGTTAGTCTTGTGTTATTTGATTTATAAAATGTAAATTTTTGTGTTTATTAAATAATTAAGTGTTTAATTAAACGAGAATTAATAATCTTCCATGTTATTATTTAAGTTTAATTAAATACGTTTATAATATTATTAATTATCTAGTTTTTTAATTTTTTAAAATAAACTTTCCTCTCCTCTATTGTTGAAAGTTTAATTAATTTTATAATGTATAAGTTACAAGAGTAGTCTTACCGTATAGACCTATTCACGAAGTTGGTCTATAAAGGGGGTTATAAGGTTACTGCCTATAAAATGGTGGTTTAATGGGTGTCCACTCTCACCCACCGCTTCATTGACTGGTGGAGGGTCGTTAGCCGAACGGGTAGGATAGGACACTAATTCTCATTAAAATTATAATGAAATACCAAGTAACTAAATACTATTATAAATTCCCCATCTTAGTTACTTAGGGAAAATGTGAATTTGGTGCTAACCCATTAAATTGCACTTTGCACCTTGTTAAGTCGTTAGTGGAGCGTATGTGGTTAACCGGCACACTAATCTGGGACTGACAATGTGCGGCAAAGGGTAGCTCGATGTTTGTCATAGATCAATGGAGCGTGTGTGGTTAACCGGCACATTGATTAGGTCATAAATGACATCGAGAGTACCAAGCTAATTTGCATGGTTATTCACACCTTGTTTGTGATCCTCGGCATCCCAGTCACAAACCTGAAGGGCATAATCGAGATTTAAACATGTCATTGAAAAAGTTCAATGAATCTCAAAGAATCTAGGAATTTCAATTCATTTAAAACTTAATAATCAATTTCGTTTTTCATGGTGGAAATTGGTAAATCATCATTTGCCTACCTTCAAATATTTTGCAATTGGATTACGACATCCCTCTTCCGAATTGTAAAATATTGTGTTGGATCCTAGCCTTATTATTTCATTTGGGTGTTATATTAAGGACTTAAATCAACTAACTTGAATTTCTCCCATTATAGATGTCTAGGTCAGACAACTATGCTCTTCCCGAATCATTCTTTATAAAGATGATATTCCACAAGACGATCAAGGTGAAAGATTAATCCCTTCTTCGTGTTGTAGTGGTACTTCACTTCCTCCACCTCCTCCAATAGTTCTCCCTAACCCACAAGTTCAAAGACTTGAAAAGTTCAAGGTCACTCAAGCCCTATTGGTTACCAAACACCAAGATGGAAGGTCTGTGTGTGCACATGTCTTGGAGATGAAGTCACACATTGACAGGCTGGGAATGTTGGGTGTCGTTGTTTCAAGGAAGTCGGCTGTTGACTTGGCTCTTCAATCACTTCCTAAGTCATATAGCGGGTTCTTTAAGAACTACTGTATGGGAGATCACGACATGACCCTTATTAATCTAACATATTTGCTTGTTGCTGCTGAATCAGGAATGATTTGGCGCACCGGTAATGCAAATTTGATTGGAAGATCTATTTCCCAAACTTCCATGGACATTGACAATGGAAACATTGGAAGTCCAGAAAAGCTTTCTCTTCCCAATGGAAAGGGATCGGCCATGTTCAAGTCATTTGACCAAATGGTAAAGAGAAAGGCTAAGTCTGAGATTGTCCCATGTACCATTCCAAGAGAGTCTGTTTGCTTCTATTGCCAAGAGAAGGGGCATTGGTTGCGAAGCTGTCGAATCTACCTGAAGGATCATAAGGATGGTAAAGTCAGAGTGTATGACTCTGCTTCAGGTAAGTCCACTATCTAACTCTATTAAGTTCCTATTTGGAGATTCTTAATACATGATGTAATTTACTTACATTTTGATGTTTTGTAGGATCGAAGAAAAGAAAGGAAGCTTAAAGGAAGAGTAAGCTGAATCTGATCGCGAAAAGATGGATTTCGATCGCATGGTTCGATGATCAGATTTTTGAGCTACTGCTAGGAGTTGTGATGGATCGCTTAGTAAATGTTTAGGAACATATTTTTCATTCGTAATTGCATTGTAAGGAAAAGTTTTCCGCATATTATAAATAAAGAAATTTTTTTGAAATTTATCTTATTTTATATTTCCTTGCAATGACATTTGTGAAAATTGATGTTTGTATGTTTCCATTGATAGCAATATTGGAAAATGGATTTGATTCTTTCGTTTGTGGTAGTGTCAATATTTACCAACACTACTAGAATATAGGCCTTTAATGACGCGCAAACCATGACACGCAGTGATTTACGATACGCAAAAGTGTGCGTCCTAAAAATAATGTCTGACTCTTCTAAAATTTGAAGAATTTAGGTCACACATTTTTGCGTGCCCTAAAATTAGTGTCGAAATGAAAAAAAACACGGAGGGCCCTTTTTAAAATTAGTGCGTCATGTGTGCATGTCGCTTTATAATTTTTTAAAATGAACGCGCGTGTCCAGACTATTTCTCTTATCACAAAATTACAGGGACCATTATTTAGGGCTCTCTGTAACATTCGCTACCTCACCTCACCTCCTATCGGCGACCTCAACTCATCTCTTTCCACCGGCGACCTCGGCTCATCTCTTTCCACCGGCGACATCGACTCATCTCTTTTTACCGGCGACCTCGGGCTCACATCACCGAAGACTGCAACGACTGCTCAAATTTACAAGCCCTGGGTACGATTAAGGTATGTTTTGGTTTACAAGCCCTACTTTATCTTTATCTCGACACTTCTCGGGGCTCGGATGTGAGTTCTTCCCTTCCTATTTCATCTTAACAAAAAGAAAAGATGAGGTTGGCTGAGGCCGTGGTGAAAAACTGACAATTGGATTTTTCATTTCAAAAAGGTCAAAGATGGTGTACTACAGTTTGAAAAATATTGGTGTTTGAGTCTTCACATTCCTAGGATTTGATTTCGATTTGAGCTCCTCGAAAATCATGGTGCTGAAGGTATTTGCTGATAGGATGTCCCAGCCATCTCGTGTTGTTCTCATCTTCTGCAAGTATATGAATTTCTTCTCCTTTTTGATAATTTACTAACTTAGTTACAAGTGCCTTTTCTTTTCCCTTTATTGACTTTTGACTTAGTGCACGCTTTGAGACGATTAGTTGATTGCTCAGATCTTGTTGAATTGAAATTTGTTCTTCAAATGTACAGTATAGGGTTTCTTTCATCACTTACAGTAACATTTCTATCATTTTTTTAAACATTTGTTGAGGCTACAGGAAGAGCAAGGTCTGGGATCATTGTGTTACCTTGTAGTGCTGGAAAGTCTTTAGTGGGGGTTTCTGCAGCCAGCAGGATTAAAAAGAGTTGTCTCTGTTTAGCTACAAATGTTGTTTTTGTTGACCAATGGGCTTTTCAATTCAAGTTATGGTCAAACATTCGTGATGAACATATATGTCTGGCATCAATGGGCTGTTGGCTGCTACTATTACTGTATCAAGAAGTATGACCAGTCACGTCGTTATTTCAGGTAAATAAATCCCAGTATTTTACTTTTTTACTTTTTTTTATATTTGACCCACAAATTTACATTTCCTTATTTGATTTATTATTTATATGACAGCAAGGCAACTAGCTTAGAACGAACATTTGCCCATGGTTGGATAGGATATGGGAATGCTTATGTAGCCAAAGAAGAAGGTGATCAAGCTATGTCTGGTTATCGAACTGCTGCACGTTTATTTCCTGGGTAATTTATTTTTATCACTTGCCTACGTTATATATTGGCAAAGGGGTATGGAAGTCAAAACCAATTGAACTACTCACATCATGGATCTTATGGCTCTAATAGGTCATCTGCAGGTCAACCTCCTCATGCCTTGGTTACTTTTGGTTTTGGTGGGAAGTTGATTGTGATGAAGGATACAAGTGGTGGGCCAATTTCTGTTCTTAACATGGCTGAAATTGTGACCGGAGGTGGTGACATGGCAACCGGTGGGACCCGCATATGTGGTTACTTTCACACTCTTTGCCGCCAATCATTTCCGGGCCCACTTGCTGGTGGAAATGTTGGTGGTAAAGAGCTGAATACATGGATTGATGAGAGAATCACACAGTCACACCCTCCTGCTGACATGGAATTTAAAAAAGATCAAGTTTTAAAGCTTCTACTTTCTTTACTCAAACTAGCTTCACAACATTACGGGAAATTACGTTCTCCTTTTGGCACCGATACTACATCGAAGGTAAAACTTTCATCTTTTTATTAATTTCAGTCTGCCCAAAGTCCAAATAACAAACAAGGGTATTTTGTAATTTAACAGGAAAACGATGCCCCAGATGTAGTGGTTGCTAGACTATTTGCATCTGCAAAGAAAGACACTTCTCAATATGGCGATTATGGAGCTTTCGCTAACTGCTTGCAACAGTTGCCACCAGAAGGACAAATTCGGGTATTCACCTTATTTCATTTATTCACATAATATTAAAAAAACATCTTTTTTTATTGATTTCTCTTTATTTTCTTAGGCAAATGCTGCTGAAGTCCAATCTCTTCTAGTTTATGGTAGAAAGGTAGAGGCTCTTCAACGTGCACAAGAGGGTCAATTATGAGGGATTGCCTTAGTTCTTGCAGCACAACTTGGTGATCAGGTTTCTCTTTCTCTCTCTCTCTCTCTCTCACACACACACACACACTGAAGGCAAGCAAAAAGATGTTAATTTATTTAAAATTTTGTGTATTGCAGTTCTATGTGCGTTGTGTTAGGAAGATGGGTGTTCATCAGCTAGTAGCAGGGTCACCTTTAAGGACATTATGTCTACTTATTGCTGTAAATATATCACAGGTAATAATAATAATAATATCATTATATTTGAATTTTGCGAGACCAATTGGCAGCTTGTTGCTTCAACACTTGAAGGAAGGACTGGTACCCAGTACTCGAATAGGTCAGTTACCATTTTTTTATACTTTTTACACCATGCTACTGTTTCGTATGTAGTGATCAAAGTTGGAATTAGAATTGTTCTGATTGTATTGAATAGAATGGAATAGTGCATTCCTTCTGCTAGGCTCATTTTCGATGGAATGGAATGACATTATAATCATAATATACTTTTATTTATATAATCTTTGATAACCCCTGGAACTAAAAGTTTCATTCTATAAGATCATTTTGTTTTTTAATCTTCCAAAAGTAACTATTTTTTATTTTAGTTCTATTTTAAGATTTCATTGGAATTTAATTTATTATAATCCTTTATTATTTTTAACAGATTTTAAAAGTGACTATATATGTATATGTTAACGACTAGTACAAAATGACTATTTTATTCAACTTAGTCATTTCCAAAAGTAATTATTTTTTATTTTAGTTAATATAACAATGCATCCTACTTCTTTTCTTATTACATTCTGAAAAATCTACTCGATTATAGAATTTTTTTTTTCTATTATATTTTGATTCCTACCTTCTCTTTGATTTCAATATTCTGGATTTAGCATATTGTGTTGAGGTTATTCTTACACTTTTTGCATTCAAGTGTGTCTCCATCAGGTAATTAATTTTAATCATGTATCTTTATTGCTATTAAACACTACTATAGATTATAAAATCTTGATACATTAGTAATAATCATTTTTTTAATGTTTTCAGCTATTAAACAGTACTATAGAAGAAGAGGGCCCTGCTGTGTTTACAGGCGACACAATGGTGGGTGTATCTTGTAATTTCTTGATGTATATTTTGGGCTAAATGCTACTTTCATTTTTTTTTTCTGATGATGTATTTTTTTTTTGGTAGTTTGTTGCTGGTTGTGGCAGTTTTTGAGGGGAAGCAGGACAGATGCATGAGTCACTGTGTGTGACTTTGGCTTCTTTGCCAAAACCAACTAAATTTACTGCGATCTGATCTACCTCAACTTCAGGTACTCTTGCTGTTTTTGACTTTTTCATATAGTTTGGAACAAGAAATGTCTTATTTCGGCCTCAATTATGATGCAGGAAGTTGGAGAAGGCCCGCGTGTGCATAGATATCTAGTACTTTCTGACTTCCCTATTGTTTATACTTTTTTTTATCTCGCATTTTGTGTGTATTAAATAAATATTTTTGATTATCTTAAGTTAAATGTGTGGTTTCAGGTACTAGATGCGTTGATTAGTCTTTTTTGCCGAACAAACATATCAGCAGACACATTATGGGCTGGAGGTTGGCTTTTGAGGCAATTGCTTCCTTATAGTGAGACATAGTTCAACACTCGTCATCTTCAGTCCCTCAAGGTCAGTCCAATACATTCTGTCATGAATTATGTACAAAAAATGTTTCTTCAAAGTGTATGTATGTTTTGATGCAGTATTTCTCTCATTTATGATTTACCAAAAAAAAATTTGTAACTTGGTTTAGTTCAGATGGAGAATTAGGAAATGCCTGAAGGAAGTTGGACATGAATCTGATAGGGATATGACGCTACGAGTCTTGGATGTTTAAAATATAATACCCTGGACATTTGAAATATAATACCCCGAAAAATAACTGAATGTTTATAAATAAATTGTCTTTTTGACCAATAAACTTATGAGAAATTACAAAACAATCCATGTTCTTATATAAATTATAATTTAATCGTAAATGCATAACTTGTGAGTTTTGGGCTGTTATTTTCGGACTATTAAAATCATGTACAATTTAGTGAATTAAGTTAAATTCTTATTTGACATAGTTTGTCAAAAATCTATAATTATGAACTTACAACACTGGCCCTTAAACGTTGATATTGAAAGTATGCTCCTTTTATGTTCAATTTTCCCTTTCTTTCTTTCTTATCTTTTTATTTTTTATAATATAACAGTTGTGTTATTTCAGCATAAATCCCTACATTATACATTTGCTTAATTAGGTTTGTATAAAACTTGTGGTTGCAGGAATCCCTTAAGAAGTGTTGTAGCCAACGTGTTTTCCTTGTAAGAAACATCTGCTCACCCTTTTGGTGGTTGGCCGGTCCTTAAATGGGAAACATCTCTAATATTGGTAAATTTTATCCACTTGAATAACTTCTAACTTCTAACAATCTGACTACATTTCTTAATGGAACCCAGAACACCACAAAGTTATCTGCTATCGATACACACTTATGCAAATATTTTAAATGCAGAGCAGGTTTTAATGGAACCCGAAACACCACATGGATCAAATATCATATCTCAAGTGCGGTCCCACATTATTTGGATGGAGAAAAGGGTAATTTCATCTTTTACAACTAAGATTCCATGTTTGATTCTTCTAATAATTATATTAGCATATTAATTTTTTTACTTTTATTTGATCAGGTTACAAGAATTATCGAAGCAGAGGTTCATTAGTCTTAAAGAATTATGAAAGGCAAGATGCAACTCTACTTAGTTGGAAATTGATATTTATCATCTTTGTGTGTATCTTTTTAGTTTGTATAGCATTACATTGCAGAAGGTGTCCCTTAATAGCAATGTAGTTTTAGGTTAGATAGTTAGGGAAAACCTCTTAATAACAATATACAATTAGATCCCCTTAATATCAATGTATTATAATTTTTTGACATGATGTTATTGGATGAAATTGATTGTTTTGGTATATATTTGTTTACATATTTTTGTATTATGCGTAAATGAGTATCGTAAAGACGCGTCGTAAATGCATATCGAAAATGGTTACAAAAGTTTATGACACGCAAATGCGTGTCATTTTCATTTATGACAGGGGCTTCCTTGATACGCATTGCGTGTCATAAACACGCGCGTCGTAAGGTTACGACACGCAAATGCGTGTCGTCTTCCTTTATGACAGGGCCTTCCTTGATACGCATTGCGTGTCATAAATGCGCGTCGTAAATGCGCGTCGTAAATAGAGGACGTGAAAAAGCGTGTCGTCTCTCGTTATGACAGGTCCTTCCTTGACATGCATTTTCGCGTTGTCTGAGCGTTTTACGACACGCATTGCGCGTTGTAAAAGGCTGTTTTTCTAGTAGTGCAAATAAGGAAAGATTCTCATCACCCAAGTTTCAGTTGGATAGAAACTTGGGATCATGTTGTTGGATAAGATGTCTAAGCCCATAACTATTATTGGTATGTACTCGACCCGAGAGTAGCATGGTCCATTTGGGTTGCATATCATCAGGACAATTTGTTAGGATGGACTTTTGAGAAGAGGTTATATATGATTTATTAATATATTATAAGTTATAATATATTAATATGAGATCATATGATTGAATTAGTATTGATCGAGAATTAGTTTGGAATTACTTTAGTGATCAAAAGAGACTAATTAAATCTATGGGGACTAATTATGGTAATTGGTTATATTTATATGTGTTGGACTTATGATCCATATTGAACTAAGTTTATGTATGGATACATAAAGAGTTGGGCCACATGAACCATGGATCATAAAACCCATGGGTATGGATTTGGGTTTTACCCATGACCTTTGGAATCCTACATATAAATATGTTACTTCATGGTCAATTTCGTGTGCTTCTATTCTTAGAGAAAGATGGACGATTTTGGTGCATGGAATTCTCTCTCGAAATGTCAACCTTTGTCCTAGATGTGTTGTGATTCAATTTGAGGTGCAACACTTGGGGCACTAAGTTCTTAAAGGCCCAAGTCTTCCTAGCAACATCAACAACATCAAGAGGTATGTCTAAAACTTGCTTTATTATTCATATGTTATTTGTATGCTAGTTGTAGGCTTAAAGCTTTGGAAACCATATGCATGTATAATTACAGAAAACATAGATCCAAAGCTTTTAGGGTTGTATGGGCACCATAGGATGTTCTAGTATACAAAACCCAACAGTGGTATCAAAGCCATGTGTTGTTTTCTATTATATTTGATGTTATTATTGGTTTTCAAAGTAAAAAATCTTATTTTTTGCATTCTGTCTGCAGGACTCGTCGAGTCCACTGGGTGACTCGACGAGTTGCTTGAAGATTGTCTTGGACTCGTCGAGTACATCAAGGGGCTCGACGAGTTGGCTGTCCTGAGTGCAGATTTTTGAGTTTTTTGGCCTGTTTTCAATTAGGATCATTACCACAAAATGTTTTTGTTCATAAAATTTGATTTTGATTACATGGCAATCATTATCCTCATCCAAATAAAGGATAATTGTCAAAGTTTCAAGATTTGTGTTAGTTTATGTGATTAGCTAAGTTCTTGAAAACTGTTGATATGAATTATCTTTACTTATGAGTTTAATCTAGATCATAGAAAAATTATTTGATTATTGTGTTAATTGGAATAATTGATCTTAATGTTTTTATGAATTCCATAACTTGTCCTCAAGTTATGGAAAATGAAGAGTTTTTCCTTTTAAAAGATTCATTAAAGTTCATAGGTTATGAAAATGAAAGGTCTTGTTTTTAAATGTCATCATAAAATAGTTTTATGTCTTCCATAACTTGTCCTCAAGTTACGGAACTTGAAAAGTCTTCCATAAAAACCATATTAAACTCATAAGTTATGGAAACCAAAAGTTTTTGAATTGTTCAAAACTTGCCCTCAAGTTTTGGAATTTGTAAAGTTACCCCCCCCCCCCCCGGTGTATACTTTAATTCCAACCCTTAGAATTTTAAAAGTTTAAAATTCAACCCTTATGCTATTATAATATTATAGGTTTAATATTTATATATATATGTATAAGAGTAAGTCAGTCCTACCGTTAGTAGGCCTCATTCACGAAGTCGGTCTATAAGGGGTGTATAAGGTTACTGCCTATAAAATGGAAGTTTAATGGGTGTCCACTCTCACCCACCGCTTCCTTGACTGGTGGAGGGTCGTTAGCCGAACGGGTAGGACATGACATTAATTCGCCCTTCATTAAAAGTATAATGATAAATATAAAGTATCTAAACTTTATTAAATTCCCAATCTTAGTTACTTTAGGAAAATGTGAATTTGGTGCTAACCCATGAAATTGTACTTTTCACCTTGTTAAGTCGTTAGTGGAGCGTGTGTGGTTAACCAGCACACTAATTTGGGACTGAAAATGCGTGGCAAAGGGTAGCTTGATGTTAATCGTAGATCAATGGAGCGTGTCTGATTAATCGGCACATTGATTAGGTGGTTGTAACATTAAGTGTACCAAGTTAATTTGCATGGTTATTCACTCCTTGTTTGTGATCCTCAGCATCCCAGTCACAAACTTGAAGGGCACAATCAAGATTTAAACATGCCATTGAATAGTTCAATGAATCTCAAAAGATCTAGGAGTTTCAATTTATTTAAAACCTAATGTTAAATTTCGTTTGTCATGGTGGAAATTGGTAAATCGTTATTTACCTACCTTCAAATATTTTGTAGCTTGGATTACGGCATCCCTCTTTAAAGTTATAAAATATTGTGTTGGGTCCTAGCCTTAATATTTCATATTGGGTGTTATATTAAGGGCTTAAATCAACTAAACTTGAATTTCTCCCTCATAGATGTCTAGTTATGACAACTGTGGTCTTCCTTATCCTTTTGGATAAAGCTATCCTAATGAAGATGATATCCCAAATGGCAATCAAGGTGAAAGATTAATCCCTTTGTTGTGCATTAATGGGACTGGAAATCATACTTCACTTCCTCCACCTCCTCCAATTATTCTCCCTAACCCACAAGTTCTTGAAAACTTCAAGGTCACTAAATCCCTATTGGCAAGCAGTGTCTATATGTACTCACATCTTGGAGATGAAGTTTCATATTGACAAGCTGGGAGAATTGGGTGTCGAAGTCTCAAGGAAGTTGACTGTTGACTGGGTTCTTCAATCACTTTCCGAGTCATATAGTGAGTACATTAAGGACTACTATGTGACAGACCACGACATGATCCTTAATG